CACTTCTACAAAACTTGCATTTCATTGAAGACCTACTAATACTTGTAATACGTGTAAAGTAACACTTGTGATGAAGAGTTTCGGAGACATAGGTTATTAGCATCAACAAACACCGTCTTAAAGTAAACAACAATAAATGTGTTTGTACTTGCGATTCTATATAGGAAAGCAAACAAAATACAACATAGAAGCAAAAACACCAAATGTTTCTAACCATTCTACCGAGTGACAACGTATAAAATCTAGAAAAATAACAAACTATAACGATGTTACCCTCACTTTAGTATCAAACGAGTGTAATAAAATAACAAACATATCAAAGTTCACGTATTATGAAACTGGAAAAAAATACACTGAGAGTATGTTGCAGAGGTTGACATCGTTACAGTTCATGATCTATCTGATGACTGTGATTCTTGAAAACTGCCATGCAGCGTTGTTTCCATAGCAAAGGTTCCGTCTTAACGTTTTCACTACCAAAGCACACTACTACTCACTGCTACGTTCCATAGACCATATGGTGTTCAATGACAATGGTTTCATAGTGCTTGTTTCAACAGTCCATTTGCACAGAAATCCTAAACGACTTGACTGGCATTTTGTCATATGAAATGGTATGAAAAACCTTAATGGTCCTCGTGCCCCAGAGTTGATCTATACTCCCCCCCTTTTTTTTTTACAATGCTATTAAGGACAAGGGATATCACGTCTGAGAAATGTAGATCCTCAAGATGAACACATCTTTATGATTTCAGTGTACGACTAATTTGTGTCAGAAAAATCTCTCACATAGTCTTCCAAAAAGCGATCAGTTGTCAGCAGCATCACACTACCCACGAGACGTTAAGAAATATCAAACTTGTAGTTCTTTTACATTCCGTTCCACCACCACTTTATATCTGCTGTGGTATATACACGTGTGTGTGTGTATATATATATATATATACACCAGATGTACTTCTACAGGATCATCGAAAGTGTTCTGTTTCAAGAGTAAATAAAACTAAAATTAAGAGTAACAAATATTTTTAGTTCTTGCTTGTCAAATTCATGTTATGCTGTGTTGTAGCCTACAGAGTGCATAATTCTTCTCGAGATCCATGGCATGTGCACGTTTTACTGACTGACTGACAGACAACAACCTACTTTATAGTGGTGCGAGTGGTTAAAACATGTGAACCCTCCATGCGGCTTTCGACCCCTTTAGGTAAAATTACTTTCTACCTACCTCTCATATTGTAACACACATTTACTTGTTATAATGTGTCACGCACCTTCGAAATAGAACCTTTCTTGTTTAGGGACTTATTGTTGAGTTACAGATACCCAAAGAAGGACATTGCCCGAAACTCTGTATCAACAAAAGTATACATTAAAAATATATATCTGTTTTCAGTAGTTTAACCAACTACACACTTCTTTTGTATATCTTTCAACAACAACCACGCATAATTTCTTACACAGCTTTAGTCCATTTGCGTGCGACATTTAACCATCAGTCCTAGGCCTAACAATAAGCCTAATATAAAATCAGTCCGTTCCGAAATGATGATATCTCTGCAATTACAACTGGTAGTGGTTTGTTTCGCTCAACTCTTTCAAAAACCAGGTACTGTTACCATACAAGCTTTACCTAAATGCCTAAACACAACTGTAATTAGTAACCGTTTCAAATTCAAATCCCATCGCCACAAAATCGTAGACCTCAAATATTTTCTGACTGTTAACCACATAAAACACCAATTTGTCTTATGAAAGACACCCTTAAACCATTTCCGCTCAAGCGTGATAGAAACTCGGAAGATTCACGTAATTAGCGTCTAAGACTGGATGACGTAGGAAATATAACTACCACAGTACATGTGTACATTGCTGTAGAAGACCTCGACTCTACCTATTACTCCGTTTTCAGTGATAAAGTAAAACAACCTAAACTGTGTCCAAACAATTTGTAGCCACTTATATTAGAAGATAACACGTAAAATGATTCCTCTGAAAGAAAGATAACGATTGAAACTAATGTCGTAATTATTCCAACCGACCTTACCTTGACCAGTGGAGAAAGATCCGTGCAGAATAAGGGACTTAAATTTGACCTCCCCCCTCAACCAAGTGTGAGTGTATTTCACTTAAGGGGTGATTGAAAACTTTGTTCTTTGACACTTAAAGATCCAAGCTTATTTTCACACCAACAATTTATGAGGAACCAATAAAAATTTCCTTATATACACCTGGAAAAAGTTAAGCACCCCCAAATATTTTTCAGGATTGCTTATTGAAAATAAGGTTTAATTTTCATGATGTTGAGCAATGTTCATAATTTCAAACATAATTAAAAGGATGTGAGCGTTCAGGTGTGACATTTAAATCAGGCGCGTTTTTTTCCCCACGTGCAACTTGCTCCCTTCTTCACGTCCAACATGCACTATTTTCTCGTGCATCAAATCCGT